AGGCCCATCCCACTCATCCTATATTCCTCCTCCTGTGTGTCACTTGTTTCGTGTATGTATGGTTGTTTGTTTGTTTGTTCGTTTGTTTGTGTGTGTGTTCGTTTACTAGCTTTTTTTTCTTCTCATTTCATTTTCCTTCTCTTCTCTAATGTCTTCTGTGGGATAACTATATGCGATAGGCCTACATGTACAATGTATATCTCATCTTTTCTCCTTCCCCTTACCCCGTATTACATGCCATTATATTACACCCAGTCCCCACCCCATTACATTACATTGTACAAACATTGAAATGATCTTGTAATAATCCAAACAAAACTTCAGTACAAGTAGGAAATAGAACAAGATAGTGAAATGTGCATGGTCAAACTACTATTCCTCATCTCCTTGTCCTTACACACCTCATTCCTACATGTATGTATCTCTGCTTTAAAGATAAAGTTGAGTTCTGGTCACGCGATTGCATTGTGAAAGAAACATTGTGGAATCGATCAGAAAAGGTTGATCATCTAGCATATAAGTATTGGTGTGTACTGCAAGGTTCTGGAATCATCAAAATGATAAGAAATTTGGCCCAGTCTTGGTAAAGTTACAAGCACTATTCACAGAAAGATGTACATGTACGTGTATATGGGACTACACAAACATGTGGCGTAAAAATCTGTGCCGATTATATGATGTTACATGCTATATTTACAATATTAAGGCATTTGAAGAGCCATGCTTTTCATGGAACATTTTTTTATCTGATGTTCTTCCACACTTGCATAATACAATGATAACGCTCACAAATTATTTTTCATCTCTTCCCAGAACTCAACCTTCTCTTTAATGGCTTCCCAGGAGTCTGTAAGGCGCAAGCAGTGTACGTTCCAGTAAGAATGATCACAAACTTTTTAATAGTTAACGGATGGTAGAAGATTGTAGAAGGAGGTCAACAGGACGCGACGCCTTTTTTTCCATGTTCTTCCCAATTGGCAATCTCTCTGATTGCGCTTTGATGTTGTCAGATTGTATTAGTGCAATATGCTGAAACACACCTCATAAGAGACTACCGGTAACTGGTTTCTTGGGGGGCGGTTACTGGTTTCTTGGGGGCCAGTCAACTGGCAAACACCTGACAAGATATATTGCATCACAGGGTTTTGGAGGATAAAGGGGGAAAACCATCCACTTCTGACAGCATCACAACAAATTGTACTTCAAGTCTCTCCACTCTATGTGGCTCATGCATATTTGGTTACCACAAACCCACCGACTTTAAGATAAAGTTGAGTTCTGGTCATGCGATTGCATTGTGAAAGAAATGGTGTGGAATCGATCAGAAAAAGTTGATCATCTAGCATATACAGTAAGTATTGGTGTGTACTGCAAGGTTCTGGAGTCATCGAAATGATTTTGGCCCAGTCGTGGAAAAGTAACAAGCACTGCGCACAGAAAGATGTATATGGGACTACACAAACATATAGCATAACAAGGGAAACGCTCTCGGCGGTCTCGCCTGCATAACGCAATTCAATATGATAAACCAGAATGATAAACCAGAACCATGACGTAGCGCTCATCCGCATCTCGCTACAACAAAAAATCGTAAATTTTATGTGGTACACTTTTGAACTGGTCAAACAAAAAACAAAAAATGGGATCTTTAAATTATTTTTGGAATAAATTTGCATAAATTACCATAATTAATTAATGGAGAACAATTTCAAAATTCTGTGTAGAACTTTAGTGTACCAAAGTTAGCTCTACCAGATAAAGCAAACCAAATAAAAATTGGTCGTGAAATGAAGGAGAAGAAGCATTTTTTGTGATTTCGAAGAAATTTGCATAAATTAGCATAGATAATGAATTTCACGATTCTGTGTAAAAGTTTTAAATCCCCTTCCTAGCCCTATCATATGAAACAATCAGAATCAAAATCGGTTGAAAAATAACGAAGAAGAAACATTTTGAAAATCTTGATGGTGATGCCACAACAAAGTCTAAGTTTTTTTTACCTTAAATGACCTTTGACCTTAACTTAGTGACCTGAAATTCTACTCACATGATTGGGGAGACTTGATTATCCTATAGTCCAAGTTTCATTGACTTAGAACTTATACTTTAAAAATTATATCAAAAATTCAAAAACTTAACGCCGCCGTCGCCGGAAAAGCGGCACCTACATGTATGTCTCGCTTTTTGCTACGCAGGCGAGACAAAAATCGGGCTTCATTTTAAGCTGTTACTTGTCATACCCGTATTTAGAATATGAAGGCATTTGAAGAGCCATGTTTTCAGCGAACATTTTTTCTCTGCTGTCTTCCGCACTTGTATATTAAATAACAATGATAACGCCCACAAATTATTGTTCACCTTTCCCCAGACCTCAACATTCTCTTTAAGCAGTAGTACATGCTGAAGAGGTGGACATGCCAAGTACAGCATGTGACCCCACACCCACTATCCAAGCAGGACCCCATGGTCGGTGCCAAGTCTGCGGCAGGGGCCAGGAAGCTCGTGAAATCTCACCGAGATGGAGAGCAAAAATAGAGACTGAGTGAATTGGAGGTGGATCAAAAGCACTACACTTTAACCTATGGTTGTTACCAAGAATGAACATTGTGACTTTCAAAAGCCTTTTGTTGAAATTTATATCTAAATGTACATGTACATTAATATATTGTGCCCTTGAGCTTTAATTAATTAGCTTTAATTAGACTGTTTTAGGTTTTTGCGACATGAATTTGTTGCTTGTTCTTTAAGAACTGTTATGGGAATTTAATCGTCTTGGGCGATAATTGGACTTTAAAATATTGACTTCCAGTATAAATACAGAGGATATATTAGCACACTAAATTCTGTGAAGAAAAAATTAGCCTTTTTATTATCATCAACAAAAGAGGCTATTTGGCACATGGGAGATTGACTCGTACAAGGTTGACTGTAGTCATCACACTAACCTTAAGATCGGTCATGGTTTATAACCTTGTGAAAATTTTAAAGTTTCATAACGAGTGCACCTTTATGGTTCCTATAAACTACTGTACAAGATGACTGCAATGTTCAAAACAACGTTGTAACCATCGAGTTAACGGACCGTCATTTGAACCCAAGTTACCCAACTATTAAAATGTTGCATAATGATCTGCTTATAATTTTAAACCACAAATGCAAGTGTGACAAATTCCATTTTCAATAGTTGTAATGTACATCTAATTGATGGAGTTTTCCAAATCAAGCAGACCTTTAACCTTTTAATTTCCTTCAGCTTGAAATGATTTGACTGAAGCAACAGACCCTTTCACACTTGGGAATTCCGCAGGTCCAAGGGATGGGGTTAAAGAAAACCAGAGGCACAAAGCGATAGAGCAATTCCTCTGCCAAGACTTGGGAACGTCCGCAAGGGGGAAAACTATCTGTCACTCTCATCTTAGACGGTATTGGAAAACGGAAGTCTCAACATCCGTGTTTGTCAGATTCGATTTGGCTAGGTTGGAAATGCCCCGCGACACAATTCCCTCTTCACATTCACCCGCCGTTTTTATATGGCCAGGACGTTATGATAGATATGAATATGATAATTATGATCTTTAATAGAGAAGGGAAGTTACAGGGGAAAGACATGATATTTTTATCCCTTGACCGCAACAAACATTTTGACTCACAAGTAAATCCTAGAAATCATAATTTGACTAGACCATGAACAGTATTTTGGAGTACTAGCCTAAGTACTATTACATGTATATTGCAAGTTACATGTACATTGTAAGTAAGTTACATACACATACATGTACATAGACATGTACATTGTATATTTAACAAGTAAACTTTACAACTACATGTACATGTGCACTGCATGATGGATAGAAGCATTAAAAGTTATTCAAGAATACTCAATTTGGAGACACAGACAAAGTGCGATTCCTACAAAGTATGATTCCTACAAGTAGATTTACAAAAAGGAAAGCGAGGTGTCATTTGGCAAAAAAGTACTGGGATACAAGTGTTATATAAATTTCACTTCAATTTATCGTATTTGTTGTTTGTTCGCTTGTTTCCAAGTACTCCCACCGAAAATATATGAACTTACAAAACGTAAGCGACCAAGATATCGCACAAAAGAAGCGCTGTCTCTGGAGCTTGTGTGTGAACTGTGAATATGGAATGTGGCTTTGTGGTAGGATATCTGGATCACTGAAGTTTTATTTAGCCATCCTGCTTTGCTACGAGTACACGACAATTGTGTTCTAAGAAACCCGCTGCAATATCCAGGCTGAATTTCGTTTGTCATTTCTTGTCTGGGTTTCGCAAGAAGCTCACTCATAAACAGTCCTTGGATTACATTTACAATGTTATGCAATGAACATGGATACTCAAATGTGGAGATCGATGATGTCCTCATTCTAAAATGAACTTTTGTTGATTTAGATATTCAATATGTTTTTAAAATTTCTCACTCAAAGACTTATAAAGTACATGTACTGTACAGGTACTCTACAGGTATTCTAGGCCCTATAACCTACATGTAGGTAACAAAAATGACTTGAACCTTTGATTTTAAATTTTGACCTTGAAATTACAAGGACAAAACTTCACTTCTTGATGATTAACAGATCTATCAAGACTATACTCTGTGTATTGTATACAGTTTAGTACATGCACAATGTATGTTTTTCTCGCAACATAATCTTTCAATTTTCTTTCTTTATTAGTTCCTACTTATAAAATGTATCCTTGCATGTTGCTTTTGATGCCCTACTTTTTTATAAGCAGAGGACACAGGTGAGTTGAACATAAGGAAAGGTCGAGTGGCAGTCTGCTTGTCAGTTCGGCTGACATAACTCGCTTTGCAATCAACCAAATACTAACTAAACCCAATCCCTTATAATCCTCACACTTACAACCCCTAAGCTACTAGTTGTACACCTCACAACACAACACGCTGCGGCACCTCCTCCCTTGGATGCTACAGGCCAAATGCAAACATGGTACACCACAAAACTACATCTTAATACCTCTGTGCAATCAATATTGCACCTCCAATTGCTGATCTTCAAAGACTGCTGGCCAGTCTCAAGTTGCAGACCCTGGAGTGGAGTGTCTGGAAAGATTCATGCAACGCTTTTCTCGTCACAATGGTCCCACACAATGTAGAATGCCACACGGGCCTCGTGTCATGTACATGTATAGTACAGTGATTTGTAGGCCTATTTCTGCTTGAAAATTCAGTGTACATGTACTTCCTTTATTGTTTTGTTTTTTTAATTAAAATACATGGGTACAATATGGCCAAATTGGTCTCCCAGCACGTCCTTTGTTCTGCACATCCTTGTTGATCTACATGTACATGTAAACCCATCAACACATCCTCTTAAACTCCTCCTGTAAACAATCTTGTAAACAATAACAACAAACAATGCATCTTCAATCATTGTAACCAACACATACAATACATGTACACCCTGGATTTTCAGGGAACAGCTGAAGGCCTCTTTGTTCTGTGTTGTAATAATTCCAATTTCCAAACAATGAACTGATATTACTCAGTGAAAATTCAATGTTTAAAAGGAAGTCCTTTGGATGATTTATGGTCTTTGCAGCTTGACCTCATTATTGTGCTTGTGAGGACACCAATTACTAGGGGGATTTCCTTTGCATCAACATCAGTATGGGGGGGGGGGGGCGCTTGAAACCCTTTTTACACTTACAAGTTATACATGTGTAGAAGATCTGTTTTCCCTACGAGTAGTCCTACATGTACATTTACATGTATGTTTTTCTTGAAGAGGCTTTATACTTACATGTAGTGAGGACACAAATGACTACCGTATAGAAATCCAGTGTGTCAAAGGGGGCAATTGAGAGTTTGAGACCCCCTTTTACAATTCGATAATATTCACATTCACATGTACATACAGTGAGGTTTTAAAATGTACATCAGTCTTTAATAATAGTGAGAACAAAAATGACTCCAGAGATTTATTTTGTCGAGGAGGATGACTGAGACTCCTTTCAACATAATACTGTACATAGTCTGTATAAAAAAAAAAAAATTTCAGAGGAAGGTAATTAACTGTACATGTAGAAGGGGGATTTCAAGGGTCAACATCAAGACAGGAAACTGAGGTTGAGGCCTTCATCAAACATAATTTAGCCTTTAATTACTGGTCAAGTATTCAAATTGTGTTTCAACTGCAATTATATGAAGTTGAAGCTATATGAACTGTACATGTAGTGTAGTTAGTAACACAGAAATTACAACGTTATTCTGAATACCCATCAGATGTATGTTTCCCAGGAAGTACTTTAGGAAGCTTTGGATAAGGTTAGATTCAGAAGCATATCTTTTCTTTAATTTCAAACTTTCGCCATTCTGTTTCTCTGTTTCTCATTCTGTTCCATTCCGCTTTCATACAAATTGAATTATCACAAGAGTTGGCTTGCCTTTAAACTTTTAACAACAACAACAACAAAAGAAAAGTTAGGGGTTCATAAACCTTTATATTAGGTGAAAGCTCAGTGGAAATGATACACCCATCACATTTCTTTCCAATTCATTTTGGAAGTCATGTGACACGGGCATTGGGCAATAGGAAAATCCCACTCAGTAGAAAGAACAACAACGAACATCCCTTTGGCTTTGCTCAATGCACAAAGTACTCGATGAAGGTCAAACAAAGCCTTTTTGGAAGTGACCCCTACTTCTAGGTCAACTCTTTGTGTACTGTGGGTGATGCATTCTCACTGCGCCAGACGAACTAGTCTCAGCCAACAGACATTTTGTCAGTATTCATGCTATTGTTCCAATCACATTTTGCTTGAAACTATTTCTTGCATTGTCCTTAGCACTACATAATTATAGTAGTAAAGCCACAGGTTTTTTAAGAACATTCATCATCTGAAAACAGAGTGATGCAAGGGTATAAATGCAGGCTCTCATATATTCTTTGTGCTCATTACTTTGGAACAATATAAATTGTCATATGAATGTCATACATTGTTGGCCTGTTCATTGTGTTTTCATCTTGACAAACTGAGCGGAAATTACTCACATTCATTGCATGCCAACAAGTTAACAAGTGGACGGACATCCCATGAACAATAACAGAAATGTGTCCAAAAAATGTTCTTGATTTTGAATTTTCTCTTTGATGTACAATGTGTCTACTTTACATTTGCCAAAAATCAAAAGATGAGCACATTTTCCTTGAAAAAATGTAAGATACTGTGAAAACATTGTGTATTGACAATTATTTGGGGTCTGCATTTTCAGACTATTGAGAGGTCCTGACCAATAATTTGTCTCAATGCTCAAGTTCAACTCTTTCAGTACAACGCCCAAATTTATCCGTTATCTACAGCACAAAGGAAAGTCTGCTTGATCAAGTGCATTGTGACTTTATTGTGGCAGTTATGGGATTCTATTTTCCGTTTCCAATTAAAAGTTTCATTGTAAAACTTGAAAGCTCTTTTTCCACACCAGATCATTAATATTTTAATGATATTGGTCATTGTAAGAATATAACCCTGACTTTAATTTTCCCATGAAATTACTTTCAATAGGCTATATAATTTGATTTTGTATTTCTAAAACGGTTGCAAACATCAGGGTGTATTGGATTTTTTTATATTTTATTAAACAAGCAACCCCCCTCCCCCCTCCAAAAAAAAAAAAAAAAATCATTACCGGTAGTCTATCCATGCATTTCCAAAAGAGATGTTCTCACAATATTGTCTGCGGAGCTTGAGTGGCCTAACAGTATACTTCATGCATTTAGCTCTTGAAGTTGAAAGCCAGGAAGGCTCTGACTCTCTAATGTAAAATAAATTAATAATACAAGTCAATGCCCTTCAATCATCCAGAAAACAATATTCAGACAGAACCCAGAAGGCCTGTCCTCATCAGCCTGAGTTTTCCAAATAGCCCGCTAGTTCTGATCCAGGAAATTAGCCAAATCACAAAAAAGCGGGCTACTTGGCACATTTGCTCGTCAAATCTTCCCAAGATGTCTTGGACTAGTTTGCAAAATAGCCTACAGGTATTTGTTGTCCGTCTTCACTTGCCCAAAGACTCGCACTGTGCGCGAAAACTGAGCAAATTTCTTGAGTTCGAGTTTTCGAGCTGATGAAGACATTGCAACTTTGGGCTAACTTCCCGGATCACAAAATAGCAAGCTATTTGGCAAACTCGGGCTGATGAAAACAGGCCCAGATTGTACATTGTACTTGTAAGGCCATTTAAAAAAATATACATGTTTAGCATCCCTGCCTGCTGGATCTATTTCTGATTTTAAAAAATAAAAAATAAATAAAGGCGGCCATCTTGAAAAATAGCCCAACTGTCAGGGAAAATGTACCGAGTGGCCATTTGAGCGGCCATTTTGAAAGAAAAGAAAGAAGAAAAAAAGGGCCTCCTCCTTCCTATTTTTCAAAAAAACAGGACGCTAAACATGTTTTTTTTATTTTTTTATTTGGCCTAAAGTAAGTTGGGTCAATCAAAGAAACACTTGATACACCTCACAGCTTATCACACATGGTGAAGATGTACACTAAACTAATAATGGTTTAGACAGGTTAGGTACATGTACTAGGACTTCCTTATTGGCCTGATATACACGTGAATCTCATGGACAGTTTACAGGATTCAGGTTGTTAATGTTGGTTTAGTGGTCAATTAGTGGGAGTACTTGTAACAATCAAGGGTAATACACACAAATACTTCCTTATTCGTCAGGCATGATAATCAGTATACAGACAGCCGTCAGGTATATGAACTACAGGTATATGAACTATATACAGTGTACCGGTACATGTACATGTAATTGTGTACAGAAACTACAAGCGATTCTCTCAGTGTAAAAAAGTACTGTTATTTTGTTATGAAGCTCTTTACGAATTACATGTAGCTACATGTACAGTATGTATACAGCAAAGGTGGGAATTCCTCAATACAATATTTTATTTCTTGTTTCTCATTAACTGTTTCTGATTACTGTTTCTCATGAAGCATTTTACGAGCTACAACATAATGACCAAAGTGAATACACTATTTTTTTACTTTCTGTTTCTTTTTCTTTCTATCAAAGTGCTTCTGATTGGAAACTGTTAATTGTCAAAAAAATATTCTTAGAATTATTTTAACTCGATTAGGAGCATATACATTGTAAACCCTTCACTTAAAAAATCAATAAATATATTGAAACTAAAATCGATATATGCACGGCAGTATCCAAGATTCAACTGTAACTTTTTAATGTGTGTACAGGCTATTCCCATACTACATGTACATGTACATGTACAAGAGGCATGCTTTAGATATGAGAGGCAGGCATTGCATGTTTGTTTTCAATGACTTCTAAAAGTTTGAACTTTTCAGTGCTATCGAGTTTAGAGCACATACGTCATTGTTTACGTTGGTGCTCCGATTCATTTCAGGGCAGGAACTCCCGTAATCTGTGCCAACCTGAAATCGTTTGCGTGGGATGCCCCTTACGTAGAAACTGGGCAGTCAAAATCACATGACATAGTTTTGGCAAAATAGCAAGAATTAAAGATAAGAAAAGACAATAAGACATGAGGTGACCTACAGCGTGTTCAGACAAGTAGAAATATATATATATATGCAAAACTGACATAAAGAAACGTTGTTTAAAGAATCACTGTGTGGTGAAGACATTGTATGTACACACTGGATAAAGAAACAAATTGTCTCTTTGGATCCTGAAGGGTGTTAATTCAAATTATTTAAAACATAATACTGTAAATGCCCTACTGGCTAGAATGGACGATACCAAAATAAGATCAATGCACCCTAAAGATAAGCCCCACCCAGTTACAAAGTTTACATACAATGCAATGTTCAAAAGAGAAGAGGACCTTAATTGATTGATGTTCGAAATGATAATCAAGCGTACCTGTATGTTTTGCTACTCTATTCGCCATTTTGTTTATAAACAGCATTATGACTAGAAAGAATTAATCACTTGATATCATAAATATTGACATACACTGTACTGTACAGTAAACATGTACAATTCAAATTTTGTACCGGTATCTTAGATTATAAAACAATAAATATTGTTAGTATGAACAAGGGGGGATGAAGAACTTGTTGCTTCTCTTGCTAGCGTTAATTGAATCACACGGGATAGTTTGGGAACTGACGCAATGATCGATTCGGTGGAAAGTGGAGGTGGGCGAGAAAGCGGGGAACGTCATGCTGGGGGAAAGGGAAGTCATAAAACATGAGATGCCTATTAGCGGTTTAATAAATACCGACAGCAAATGCACATGTCATGTATGCTTGAGACTCTCCTATGGATTGCTCCTCAATAAATCAGTGGCTTTTGTGAATATCAGTTCCATATTTGTCATGACAAAGGGAAGAGATACTTGAAAAATCACTGTTTTTAGTTATAGTACACAGAAATATTGATTTATGGAAACTATGCCCTATATGGATACTGTGCCATTTATGACAAAAAATATGAGAACCAATCAAGATTATATTTTATAATTTCTCCCCCCCCCCCCCACCAAAAAAAAAAAAGTGTTAGGGTCAAATATAAAAAGCATCCTATCAGCAAATGTAGGAACTACGGTTATTCATGAAATAATACTTGCATTTTTGTCTACGGTTTGCAAATATTTGTTGATCTTCAGATCTTCCAAATAAAACATTGATTTAAACATGGACTCGACATGAAAGAAATTTATCACTGACTTTGCACATGCCTTGGGCTTGGCCTGCAAGACTACACCTTGCAGGCATTGCCTCCTTCACAGGCATTGCCTCCCTCAGTGGCATATTTTCTCTCGCTACACTTGACATATATGGCCCATTCAGGCTTTATCGCATGAAGGCGAGGGATTACTTTCAAAGTACTGATACTGCAGGGAGGGATGCGTCCGTCGTCGTGGAGGATGCTTCCTGGCTGGCTGAGCTGACTGAGGAGCGACGATATGAATTATTAAAGATGGGGGACGAGAGGAGAGGAGAGGAGAGGATGATACGTGCGTACATGTTTAAAAGCGAGAGTGCTCCGGGCGGCTTGGGTTGTGTCA